ACGCTGAAATTATACAGATCATTTAATTAATTGAAAACTTCCGTTGCTAGCAACTTTATATGTAAAATGTATGATTACGAGAAAAATTATAATGAAACGATTACCGTTTCTAGTTAGAATATCCGAAGATTAACTAAAATTATACAAAATCAACGTAACACGACGTATTTAAAAACGTTTATAAAGGATATTTACACACGATTTCCAACCAACGTGGTACTTTATTGGCAGTTGTTTCACGTAATAACCAAATAATAGTTGTTAATTTATAACCATATGTGGTATTCGTATTGCGTATGCGCTGACCCTCTGGTAGACGCGCCGGCGCTCGCCTCCAGTTGTTTTGACGGCCCCGGCCGACGTGCGCGTGCGCCACTCATACGAATTTATATGTTACAATCCAAAAATTTCGCTTTCTCCGATACATCGCAAATCTAAATTGAAAAGTGCCAAGTAATCTAATACCTTGTAGATATTATTATATTTGGTGAAATTTCTTAGTCACTTTTACGGTTCGGCTTTTTTTTTGGCTATGCTAAAACTTGTGAAACTCGTATTAATACGGCCGTTTAGTGTTTTTTTTTTCTATACAAGTGTTTAGTTCGAATTCTTTAATTGGATTTAGTGTTTTTGTTGTTTTTATTATCTTCTCTCATAGAGCATTTGTTCTCTTATAGATTATTACCGACGTTATCAATGTATAATCTTGACTTTTATTACGCGCTATCTTAGTATCGCCTTTATTTTGGGGAAATTCCTTCGCCTATCTAATTTTATTGCATTTTAATCATGAAAAATGTTAATTTTAATATATATTTCATTTCAAACTGCAACTTTCCCTATTTAACATACATACCCTTTTCTATTTTATGTCACCTCAATATATCATACCATTAATATTTCAAATAACAAATAACTGTGCATGTTTAATAAATTCGCTACACGCATACGCTTAATTCGATATGACGCGAATTAATATTCCACCTGTAATAATCATAAATAATAAATATTAAATACTAGTATTATTTAAAACTAGCAATGCCCGCGGCTCCGTTCAGGTGACCAAAAACCAAATTCTTAGGATTTACATATTAGTATACTTACATTGCAGTTTTTGTACTTTTTCTCAGAAACGAGACATTTTCCCGCAGTAAAATGTATCCTATATGTTAACCCGGATAACCAGCTATCCCGGGGGAGAAGCCAACTCCTACCGGGCGCGTCCCCAGGTGGCGGATAGGGGAATGCCACCCGCTTAGGGCGGCGGGTGGTACCGGAGAAATCCGGCGCGGACCAAATGGCTTGGATGGGGCCGCTCGTCTAGGCCTCGAGCCGAAGACGTTGCGGCCACCGGTGGTGGGACCGCTTGGTCCCACAACCGGATGATGGGTGCCGGTTGCGGGACTGTGGTCGCAGGCCCGCATCCGGCGGAGGAGTAGGCCGCGGCGGGAGAGGAGTGCCGGTATTTCGGTGCGCCGTTCTCCCTACCTTCCGCGGCCTAGACGGGGCCGCCACCGTTCGATGGCGGACGCGGTGGGGCTGCAGGGGAAGAGGAGTGTCGGTGTTTCGTTGCCGCTCTCCCTGTCCTCTGCAGCCGATTGGAGGTGGCCCACTTCGGTGGGCGGTGGTTAGGTTTAATGGGGCTGCTCCGGGTACCTCTCTGGCGTAGCAGAGTTGACTGTGGAGCAGCCCCATTGGTTTGGTGGTCTGCCTTTTTAGGCAGACCTGCCGCCGGGGCGCCGTAGTAGTTATGCGCAAGCGATCCTGCGGCGTCCCATTAAGGCGGAGGGGAGGGGAATGTCGGGTTTTAGTGGGTAGTACCGGCTCTTCTAGCCGGTGAGCCCCACATCACCACCTGGGGGATCAGGTGGTATGCGTAAATGCATTTCCCGACATAAAAAAAAAAAAAAAATAACCAGCTATCACCATACCAAATTTCATCAAAATGCCTCCAGTGGTTTTTCTGTGATGCGGTAACAGACACATAAAAATTCTAAAAAATATCGATTCCACCTCTATATCGATAATAATGTTTATTTCAATAAGATTTTCCAAAAAATATTTAACGTACAGATTCGGCTTAGTTACAATTTTATTATATGTATAGATTAATAATAACTTCGAGATACTTTGGAATCAATAATTCAATATTAATCGATCGTTAAATAAAACTCGTATCTCGTGGAGAGTGGCAATAAAACCTTTATTGATTCGTCATTGAACGCTATATGCTTTAGAATAAGTCTTTAACTTATTTGTATTCAGTTACAATGTTTCGATTGTGCATTTTCTTTATTAGAATCATTTTCAAGTTAAAACTGCAAGTATCATTTATAGCTATTCAGATTTGTTTAACAAAGAAGTATAAACTTTTTACAATACATTTTGTGGGGCCTAATTAGCTTCGTGCTCATTTTAACGCACCGTTTAAGGCTTGATCAAGTTTACGTATTTGGGAAGTTGCGGTAGTCGATTACATGTTATTATTATAATGACGATTGACGATTTTATTTACATGCGAAGAAGTTTATTGTTATTATTTATTTGTTAAACAAGTTTCTCTAAGTTTTTCGCAACTAAGAGAACTTCTTCTGCTTTTCGCTCATTTTCTCTTTTCGCTCTGTTGCTACGTAATAGATAAAAAAACTAACAAACAATTTCCCCTTTATGTATAATATTCGTAAAATCACACAAAACTCATCCTGAGATTAAATTATGATGCCCGTCTTCATATCTTATCTGAAAGGTCGTTGCAAATTCTGTTGCACTCTTGTTTATCTGTAATTATTTATATTTTCCGTTCACAAGACCTCCTTGTCTCCGGTACAAACATGCTTCTATCTATAATATAAAATCTCCGTCATACATAATTTATTTATCGGCCATCAGCAAATTACATACTAGAGCTTTGTTCATTATAAAATTAATCGGCGTGAGGTCTGTGATCTCACCAAAAAATGTGTATAATGTACATATCATATGTATATTGATCACAGTATATTTTCACCATTCAAGGTTATATTAAGATGTTCGTTTGGCGCACCTTCAATATTTACTATGGTCGCATCATGAGTTATGCGTCATTTATAACAGCTACTAAGTCGATAGTGTGTACCAGCGATCTAGGATCAGTGCCTGAGTCACGGTCTCTCGTTGCCAGATAATAGTCACTGTTTGCGTTCGATTAGTCCGCGTTTGTCAACATCTCAATGCACTCGTATTATTGAGTCTTAAAAAAATCCTGTTATTTTTTCTTTATATTTGCTTTGGTGGAGTACAGTGGAAATAAACATATATGGATAACATATATAAAAATTTTTTTTAATCTTTAGTTACTGCGTAATGTAAACAATTAAACATCTGTGATACACAAGTGCAACAACAATTTATTGCTTTATTTTAAATGGATCACAATGTCTTACGTGTAGTGCTACAAATAAATATATTCTAGCCAGTGATGTGATTGGACTTAATCAATATGTTTTATGGAGTAATCGTCGTAATCGGTGCAGTTTTGTACCTTGTATGGAAGTTTTTGTTTGCAAATAAGTTACAACCCAGTTTGAAAGCAGCTGATCATTCTACGCGCGATAATGATTCAAACATAGAATGCAGTGCAGATATTATTGACCATAAGATTGATAAGGCCAAGATTCGTGACAAAGAATTAGATCTAAACTTACGTATTAGGCACATAGAAAGAAAAGATATTAAATCTACAAATTTTTTGTTATCCCAAATTGATAAGAATGAAAACACAGATAATTTGCATGAAGAAGACGTAACTTCAAGTAAATATCAGAATGTAGAGCATAGTAATATAATTGCTCCAAGTTTATTTTTAAAACACCAAAATAATAATAAATACGACAAATTATTGAAAAGGCACAGTCCACCTAAGGAACGATTTGCTGAATTTTTAGAAAAAACCGTTTTGAATGATGACAAATTACAATCTATTATACAAAATTTGTCACTCAACGAGTATTGTACAACAGAACTTACAAATAATGAAACAGAAGCAGATTTATATAAAAAAGAAAGTCCACTCAGTGAAAAGGCGGTCAGATTGCAAAAGTCAATAGATCAAATTGGAGATAGATTTAAAAGTCTCGACTCTATAATCTCAGAAAATTCATTAAAAATTAAAAATGATGACAACATAGTAGAGCACACCAAGCCTTTGTTATTAAAACGTCTTGAAAAACAATCAGGTATACCGACCGGGTTGAACTTCGGTTCTGTTATAGGAGAATTGAAAATAAAAACCAAAAACGCCAGCAATGGAAATCTTAAACCTGTCTTCAAGAAATTCGATATCGACACTGTGGATAATAATCAGGCACGTTTCTTGTATATAAAACAATGTTAAAAGTCTTACGTGCGTTCTAAATTACACGCACTCTCTTTATGTTATCTTATACAATATTTAGGCTGCGAATGTGAAATAATTGTCATTCACATAGGTCTACGTAATAATTTTCTTGCTGATGTTAGATAAAAATGATTAAAATCTTTCATACTTTCTTGTAGCGTAAATATACTCTTGTCAAGATACACATGCTTATGCCATAGATGATAGAAATATAATTGAAAGTGTTTATTTATAAAAATAAATCTTTGATTATATTTTATACTAGCGGCTCACCCTCGCATCGCTCGGGTTCGCCTCTAGAAAAACGAAAACAAATCTATCCCACGGCAACCGTACATTTCCGGGATAAAAAGTAGTTTGTTATTGTGATGTATGAGCTATATTATTGTAAAGTTTCATTAAAATCCATTCAGTAGTTTTTGCGTGAAAGAGCAACAAACATCCATATATATCTATACATACAGACATCCAACATCCTCACAAACTTTAGCATTTATAAGGATTTAGTACTTACGTATAATATTTTAATTCAACTTTTTTAAATTACTATGTGAGCTTTTAAAGCTTACTATATCATTACTTTATTGTTTATTATAAATAATATTAATATAAAACTTTGTTATAGGAATCCTTAAATGTTGCTGTTGATGACAAGAAAAAGGTGCATATTGATGAAAATGAACTAGGATCCAACATCTTAGCTGATAGAAGAAACAAATTGGAAACAGCGGCACAGGTATTATTTTTAGGCTATATTTAATTATAATATTAGCGACATTGTATAGTACGTACTTATATATGTACGAGTATATAATGAAGAAAGTAATGTAAAGATTTGTTAATATATGATATAATACGTTTGTTGAGATATTTAGCGCATTTAACATATATTTATTTGTAAACATTTAAAAACTCAACCACATATGTAAGACACGATTTTTCTTTTTAACCGACTCCAAAAAGGTGGAGATTCTCAATTTGTCGGAATCTTTTTTTTAATGTATGTTCACCGTATATGTATGATTACTCGAAGACACCTGAACCGATTTGGATTTTGTTTTCTTTTAATATAAAATATGCCCCATATAAATTTTATCGAAATCGGTCTAATTTTTTTTTAAATCAACAATCAATAATTTTGTAAAATAAATTGTTTAATCGAATATGTTATTAAAAAAATCTTTTTAAAATTTACCTGGTTATTACGTCTACACTTAATATGAAAAAATATAACTTAAAAAACCGACTTCCTTGCACTAAAATGTAAAATATAACTACGCGGGGTTTTCATTTAGAATAGATACCTAATCAGATATTTTCGAAGTCGGTGCCAATGTCAATATTTTAAGATATGAACATCTAATAGGAAAATATGAATTTTACGTATCGAAATATATTAGATTTGCTTTGCATCGGCTGGCACCGTGCAACCTGCGTAATCCACGATGTATGTATTAGCAATGAGTGGACAAGTTTCTTCAATTTGCATGAAACTTCCGACTGAGAAATCGGTCAGACGGTCACGCTCCAAAACTGCAAACATTGTGCACTTTGTAATATTCTAGTATCAGTGCCTCTACTCTATGATGTTATCGTGAAATAACGTTACTATAGCCGTTAGTGAGGTGATCCTATACTAACGATGGTGCTGTACCAAAGATTAATTAACACGCTCGCTAACGTACATCGATCTTGTTAAGTGAAGTAGTATTGTTGTTAAAACAGGCTACAATTGAAACAATTTGATTGATTATATTATGGGTGTTAGTGATACATCAATTTACGCTAATGGTCCAGTTTACACACGCCGACTCTTTGTAATTTGTGTTAGTATCCTAAATTACCTATTGTTTATCGATCGGTAAGAACAAGAATCGTAATAATTTGACGTAAACTTATTATCCATAAAAGATACATATATTTAACAATGTATTATACTCGTTTAATATATAAAATATGATAAATGATATTGGTAATGTAGAAGTGAATATTTGAAAGTCAATAAAAATGCGTAGTATAATACCAGCTCAGTACGACGAGTAATAATACCTTATAAAGGTAGAGAAGAGGTTCTCTCGTCTTGTTATATGAAACTTAAGTCAAAAGTTAAGGAAAAACAAAAATTTTAATAAAATCTTCTTTTATTTTATTGTATTCAATTTATTGGCTGATTTTTATGACCATAAAGAATTGAACATTCAGCTCAAACGTTCCGACGTTGAAATGTGCTAATAAATGTAAAGGATTTGTGGAAATATCAAGGCGCTTTTGCTTTGTATTGTTTCACTGATAATTGGTTCGACCTATATTGCCAATAATAACGTTTCCGTCTTTCGAAATCCTTAATAAAGTCGGTCAAGTCTACACCGATTCCGTACTCTCACTTCTTATACTTACTATGTAATAATTCACATTTTTTTGTATCCTTATGGTTATGCGCGTAAATGGCGAAGAAGGAAAATGTTAAGACAAAGGATTTTTAAACGAGGCTGGTGTTTACTGTAATATATATATATATATATATATATATATATATATATATATATATATATATATATATATATTGTATACATAAGTTAAAAGCTTTGTCAATGTTGAAACTCATTCGGAATTACCGTCTTTGATGTCCGACGAGTAAATTGATTTACTAATAAGTGGGTATTTAATGAATATGCCATTTATTATGTAGGTGTATTATTTATTTATGTATATCTTCTGGCTGCTACACATATTTCGTTATATAACCCATAAGATTTCGAATCGAAAGATTCACTTACAGATAAATTTAATAAGTTTTAGTTGAGAAACTTTGAACGGACTAATAAATCATTTATCAATAAAATTCTGTCAATATTGCCAAACGCATAGGCATTTTATGTTTGTATGAGTAATTTCAAACCTTAGCCATAATGAGTCATTGACCGCATACTGATATAATGCAATTCGCGTAATGGGCAACAACATTCCCTATATAAATATAGTTGTTGTGTATGTCAAGATTCTTTTTAATATATACCTATGTGAAATCCTATCAATATGTAAATGTCATACTTTGTGCAATTTCAACAGAAATAACTCAGTAGTACCTATAGAATATAGACAGATATTTTTATAAGCTAGTGTATACTTGCGAGTAGAGAGGCACTGAGTGTAGTTTGGTTAATTTTGTCCTATATAGTATATAACAAAAGAGATGTAAATAAGTCTAAACTTAATAATTAATCTAGATATTAGTTTTATTGACATGTTGTTAGGAAATATCCTATACATCATTATAACCGCCTCTGTGACTAGTAGATACTGTCTACTACACTTAACATAATCGTAGCATGTTCGATTTCCGCTTGATGCGAATATTTGTGATAAGACGTGGTTTTAAAAACCACCAACCAGTCTGTTTGGTTTTAAAATCAACTAAAATTAGTTACAATAAAACACTGTATTTTTCTTTTCTGTCCTATAAAGTATAAAGCGTGAAGGTTTATATTATTACTTAATATTAAAAATTAGAAACATATTTCATTTTAAATTGTTTTCTTAGGGATGGCGGAAACGCGTACCACAGAGCGATGCCTCCCTATTCACGGTCGCGGGGCGTTTAGAGCGCGACAAAGTGAACATCGCGACCCCCCCACTCACACCACCCCCCATAGCAACCCCGCCAGCTTTATCCCCCGCAGTCACGCCGGCTGTACCGCCACCTAACAGATTCAGGTAAGTCGAATTTGTGTATATGGGCTACGATTATGTTATGATATTATGTTAGAAGCTATAATAAACTGCATATGTATGTATAATGTAGGTATATAGAAATGACATACCACTCACTTATTAATCACGAAATCTTAGAAATTATAAATGCTACGAACATGGCCAGGTAGACTTCTTGAAAGTTTGTTATATGTATTTTATATTTAGGGCAGTACATCTTCTGGGGATGAAAAATTAGGGATGATGTGAATAACATTATATGTAAATATATAAGCAACCAAAAGTGATCCACGCAAAGCGAGGATGAAACGGTAATATAGTATATGATTTTTTTAAATTTTAGAATAATGTCATCAAACATTAATGCATATTCATATATTCTCTATTTTATTTATGGGGAAAGTCAATGACTTCATAAATCTAAAATCACATATTATGTTAGATAATAATTTGTCGTTACATGAAGCTTTCGACTAGTATGACTACTTACATCGACATGATAAAATTGATAGTTTAGACAGAGGCAATAATGTGTTTAGTCACAACATGACTTTACAAATGAATATTACCCAATCATATTTAAAAAAAGATAGCTATAAGTACGAAATGGTTGAGAGATATTTTAAAGGCTACATAATTTTCAATAATATTTTTAAAGCAGGCTCAAAAAAAATAGTGGAAAACTGGTCCAAAAGTATTTCTTTTGAGAGTAACTTTGTATCGATGTTATCCTTCACCACCGAGCAATTGATTAATTGAATTAAATTTCAAGGCAATTCGGTCTCGAAGTAATGCAGTACATCCGTTGACAATGCGACCACACGCAGCTTTAGTTTATATAACCAAATAAAGACCGTATTGCAGTCAATCTGATCAACCGCGCCATAAAAGGTTCTAGACCATTGCTGACATACGATTGTGCTCTAAATATTAAACAATGTCATCTAAATTTTTAGATTAGATATAACTAGTGACTTACCGTTGTTTTGCGCGAGTTCGACCATAGGTTGTTTTTGTATTTGTTATAATATATACAAATAGAGCCGCCTTTTGGCAAATTTTATAAGGCTGTTAGTTAAAGCTAAACTAAAGAAGAGTAAGTTCAATCTATCTGTGTTCTGAACTTCATTCAAATTTGTCCAGCCGTTTAAGCGTCAAGTAATAACAAACACACGCATATATAAACTTATTTAAAGAAGTGCTAAGATTCTGTTGTATTAAATTATATTTTTACGCGATGTGTGTATGGTAGGTAGGTCCTTACTAGTCTTTTATAGAGACTTTCTTTTTTTACATAAATATTAGCGACTCACCCTTGCTTCGCTCGGGTTGGTCCCTAGTTTGCTTTCCCATACAAATTTTCACCCCCTTAAGGGATCATTTCCGGGATAAAAACTATCCTATGTCCTTTCCAGGGTCTCAAACTATCTTCTTACTAAATTTCATCTAAATCGGTTCACTAGTTTCGGGGCCTATTCGATACAAACAGACAAAAAAAAACAAGTTTTCTTATTTATAATATTAGAATAGATATCGTTAACATGACGAAGATTGTCTTCTTGATTGACTCTTAATCGCACTTCTAAAATTTCATATACATAAAAAGTTAATAAAATATCAAAATGTATACGCTCAAAAAAACAAGTAAATGACCGAAATATTGCTTACATATGAATTGCACGGTGCTGATTAAATTAGATTTGCTTCTTGATTTCATGGTCAGTAGTTTGTTAATATAAAAAAAGTAAACAATTATTTTTATATATGGATGTGTATATGATGTAGAGACAACATAACACTGCTCTTAGATTTTTATCAATATAAAGGTTATTTGTTTAGCGATTTGATTTGTTTTGTAAAATCAAAGGATCATTAATTTTCTTAATAAATAATATTGTCCGGTAAAATGTATATACTTAATATATAAAGACCGTTTGGCGCAGTGGTCTATTTGTCCGACATCTATACCGAAGGTCACGGATTCGTTTTTCCTCGGAATAAACATGTATGTACATACCACTGTGTGCTGTGTATGTATGTTTTATGAACACTAAACACAGTGCAATAACTCTGTGTAAACGACGTGTTAGTTTTAAATTTTATTAATTTCGTAACCGTGGGACAGTGAATGAAAATCAGTATGAAAATTCCAATTCGCTCACAACTAATTTAGATTTGTATATGATATGAAGATTTTTTTACGATAATTCAGAGATCATATACTAAAAAAGGGTAATTCATAAAAAATAATAAACTTTTGTCGTCTCTAGATCTCGTAAAGCTCCAACATCCCCTACCAATGGCTTTGCATCGGGCCCACTACGGTCTGCGTCGTGCGCGGTAATGAGCGCAGTAGTGGACAAGCCAAAGGAAACACCCAAGATTGACCGCGAATCGTTCAAACGGAGCCATTCCGTCAGCGAAAGCATCAGTCGTGTTGATGAGAGTGAGTATATAGAACTTTTGTATTTACTTTAGTTTTAACTGCCTTGTTGATCTAGTGATTAGCATCCGGCTGTAGATCCGGAGGTCTTGGATTCGAATCCCAGGTCGGAATGAATCTAGTTATTGGATGTTTTTATAAGAAATTCTAAGTAACAACCCTTAGTTGGGATGTTGATGGTATTTCACCCCCGTGCCTTGGAGAGCACGTCAGTCCTGCGCCTGATCTTCCATATCTAGGGTAAAATTGTTTTCCCAACAGAGTATGAGAGTGACAAGAATAGAGTGCACTTGTGTTTGCTCGCATTTTTGTGTACTATAATATCTCCTGCGCAGTTGGCTAGTCTCAATGAGATAGACCACCGTGGCTGAAATCGCTTTAGGAGAGCGTTTTTATGTCCATAAATATGTTATGTATGTATGTATTTATGTAATAAAATCTTCCGAGTCGATTTTATCATCTGCGTTTCACCCTTTTCTTTAAATTGTGACTCATAATGAAATGTGTAAAGATAAAGAAAATTGAACTTTTTCAAATATATATACATATATTTATTTTTAAAGATGTACTTTTAAGTAAAATTATTACTCATTTTAGCTTTTAGTCATCTTTGTTAAATGATATTTGTCATTGGTGTCATCGGGTTTTGTGAGTCACTATAATAATTATGTATAAAGCTTGGTTGTCTTCCTCGATCTTATACAAAAACCTAAAAAAATACTTTAAAATTAACTGCTTATACAATTATTTTTTAACAACAATAATGTTGTAAAATATTCAAAAAATAATTTTTTGAATATTTTACTGTTATTATTACGGATAGTTATGAGAAAATGCTTTCTTTGTATCACTAACTGTATATATGTATGTAGTTTTATTTTACTGTAATTAAGTTACATAGAGTAAGACAAACAAATCTCCGCACAAAGGTCGTACGTCTGTGTATCTGTCGTGAATAAATTAAATCCGTTAGGTTTATGGGAAAGACAGTTTTTACAAAATTATATACTTCTAACTAATATATCTAGATTTATCTTAGATCTTTAAAAGTATTAATTGTTACGCTAATAATTACGTCCATAAAATATCTAGTATTTTCTTCTAGGGTTTCAATATTTAGATGTATTCTAAGCTGGTGAAATGAGTTTATATTTTAATTTTCATGTACCACTTAGCTTAAGAGATTCTTAATTAAGGTATCATATAGATTAAACTTTGTATAATTTAATAATAAATACGTAACCTGAACAGCAATTATCCTAATTGCTAAAATGAAATGAAACCAACATACAAACAAACCATACGAGTATAAACTAATAGTCTACAGTACAACACGCCTTTTTCTTTCTTTTTTATCGTTTTGATGAGGCGCCCAACTTTTCTATAAAAACTTGATAAAAGATAAACACCATATTTTATAAACTAGATTATAAATACTATAGAGTGGGTACTGCTTTATTTATATTAAACAGATAAATAACTAAAATCTATTTTAGAAGAAGAAATATCCGGTGCGGAGAAGACAGGGTGTCCCGTGAGAGTGCCTCGAGCTGATGATGAGACCTTCCAAGCGTTCTTCACTCCTGCCTTGCAACAAGAGAAGACTCAGTCTACTGACGTCGAAGTAGACTTGGATGCGATTGATAGCGGATCGAGGCAATTGTAAGGATATTTTCATTGTTTTTTTTTTTAATTTAATTGGGGGTTTCTAATTAAAACTATTTTTCGAATTGCTTTGAGATTTTATATTTGCTGTAAAGCAATCGAAGCGTCGCGTTGGTAGCCAGAATGTAAAATAAGTCCGCAAAAAAACTAGTTTTGTAAAAAAAAATCAAACATTTGCGTAAAAAATAAAAATAAACTTTAATATATTATGTTTATTTGTAACAGTAATTATATGTTTGTTTGTATTTTGCTAACATTAAGAATTTGTGTAGGTCTTTTGTGTTGTGTGTATTTCAAAATATATAAACTATATAAAGATCATGTCGTAGTAATCACTATGCCAAGTCGAAACACCTACTAAAAAAAACTTTAATTTATCTGTATTATAATGTGACTATTATTTGTACTGGCTGGTGAAGATGATGAGCCGATTTTAAGAAGACTTTTACTAGCAAATAGCGGAGTGACAAACTCATATAGCTTATATTTTTTTAAATTGTATCACGCTATAGAAATCGCGGACTAATACTAGTAAATAAAAATTTTAATTGAATGCTTATATTATATTTTTTATCTTTGAACACTTTACTTATTTATCGTCACAATGTTTATGGAATAATACCGTTAATCTTTTTTGATATAATTTTGCAGAAAAAACAATATTCGCATTAACAAAGAGGGAATATTGTACAAAATCAAATGATACCAAATATTAACGCAATAGCTGTATATAACCATGTACTTTTAATTTACATTGGACAGTGATAAATGTATCCGCTTTGCGCAAGTTCCCGTATTAGTTACACTCTTACTTGGAAACTTCGAGTAATATTTTTTTGTACTGAGTAATTATTGCTAATGTTTTATTTGAATATTTTAATTTACAATAAAGTTAAACTATTTTTTATAAATGCTCTAACTTAGTCGAGTTGAGTATATTATGAGGAATTTTTCTTTTTTTAAAATATACCGTACGTGTACGATTCTTGTCTAAATACACGAAAATTGTTGCAAAATATATAATAATAAAAATATGTTGGGACATTAACACACAGTACCATCTAGTTCCATGGTAAGCTGCGAGGCTTGTGTTATGAATACCAGATAGTTGATACACTACACATATATAACTTTAAATACATACATATTATAAATAGGTGCCTAGCAGTAACCTGCGTTATTCCAGATCTATTTATGTTCTAAATTTCATCCAAATCCGTGCAGCCGTTTAAATGTAAAGGAATAACAAATACTACATACATACATACATACATACATAGTACACAGAAACTTTCGCAATTACAATAGTAGGCCATTTTGGTTCCTCTCTTTAGTTCTTCTAGAAGAACTAAAGAGGGGTTGTTTTGGGTATTCTAGAAGAATCCATCACTACATAGTATAAAACAAAGTCGATTCCCGCGGTCTGTCTGTCCCTGTGTACGCTTAGATCTATAAACTATACAACGGATTTTGATGCGGTTTTTTTAATAGATAGAGTGATTTAAGAGGAAGGTTTATATGCATAATACATGCAAATTATAGTACAGAATAACCGAGAAATTCAAAGATTTCTATTTCATACCAACCGTTAAAACGTACCGTACGTACGTATTTAAAAAGAAGTCTAAACTAGATATAAATAATTATCATGTTACTATCAAACAGGTTAGCAAGTGATTGGGCTCGTAGGGCCAAGAGGGAGCGACGTCATGTCGCCTCAAGGAACCCTCTGAGGGCGCTCGCGGCTAGAACTGACCTCAGACAGGAGTACCTCGCACAGCCTCTCACTGTTCGCGACCAGATGCTAAAGGAGAAGAGTATGTATATTTTGTTATTACTGTGTGTTCATGATGTTTTGTTTTTTAACGATTGGTCAAAGTAATTGTTTGTTTTTTAATGAGAAGTGTGTGTCTTTTCTACATTCTACGTGAGATTGGAGTTGTCTGTATGTATGTATATTGTATAGTTTTCAGCTTTAAAAGTGTTTACGAAAAACAACTAATAATATTTGAAAATATTTCAATATCAATTTTAAAGATAATAATTTAAGTGCTCTTAGTTCATTTGTTTACGTGTGAGTATTATAGAATTTGTATATGGGGAATAAAGATTTATATTGTTTTCTCCTGGATATACTAAACAAATGACCGATGAACATTTTCATGCTATTTCTCCAGTCATATCCATTAATAAGCCTTACCAGACCAGTGAGGATTACTTCTCGACCGAATCGTGATTATCAAATAATATATGTAAATAATAATTTAAATTGTATAATAATGACACTACGGGACTTAAACGCGTATATTTCCGTCCCGGTTTGCCCGTGACCGCGGCTGGTGCAATCCAGTCGAAACGTCGGGAATGAGATATTTTGTTACTTAAGGGGACTTAAACACACGTGAGTCCCGTTATTATTATACAACTATCAGTACCTGCAGCTCCACCCGCGTTCAAACTTCCGATCGTTACCAAACTTCACAGGATCACTCACGGGGCTTAATCTGAAGATTGCCTGAAAATTTCATCGAAATCGTTCCAGCCGTTTTGGAATCCATTGGGAACGTACATACTCACACCAATTTTTATATATGTTTATAGATTATGAAAAAATATAATAATTTAAATTTACTTTCCAGTAACAGCAAACTGTGGTTTAGCAGCCGAAGCCCTAGCAGCCCTCGCTAGTAAAGAGGACTTCTCCAACGTGGCATTAAAAAGTGCAAACGTAACTGCGCCTGCGCAAGGCACTAAGTCCCTCATGTTGCTACAAGTTAAGGGACGAAGACGGGTTCAGGTGAGTTCATATTAGTATGTAGTATTCAGCCCTTCTCTTAACGTCCCACTGCTGTAATCAAGTTCATCCACATGAAAATATCAATATAAGTGCGAGTCCCGGGATTTGAACCCGCTTCACTTGGTCTCCCAAGCGAGCGCGTTACCACGAACCATATGACATATTTCGAAAGAAATATTTCTGACTTAAATCCAAAAGTTGTTAATAACAACTTATTTTTTAAAGAAAATATTTCATCCAAAATTTATACATGTAATAGAATTATATTAGATCGCAGTCTGTACAAGGAAGATATTTGAAGAAAACTACTATTGGGGGCCTTTATTAATGTAATAGAACTCTTTTAGACTTTTTATGTGTTTGTCTATGCGTTTGTTCGCGGTAATCTCGGAAACGGCATAACCGATTCGGGTGCGGTTTTCACTAATATATTTTGGTACGCATCACTTAACATTTAGTATTATGTTTTATTTTAATCGGTTCATAAATAAAAAAGTTATGTCAATTTAAAGAACCACCTAGGGATGAACCCGAGCGATGCGAGGGTGAGTTGCTAGTTAATGAATAAATTCTTTTCTTTTAATACTAGTAGGTGATTACTTTTGTCATATCTTTGAAGCTGCTTTTAAGAAATAGGGTAGTAAGAGTTCAAAAAGGAAGATCTAAAAAACAAAGATTACATGAATCAAGCTTAATTTAATAGTTATACTGCTGTGATATTTAATACTTTCATAAATACAAGGTTTTACGTGAATAAGTAAACAATAAATACAATAAAACATGAGGAAGTGTATGTTATTACAGAATGCCTATTATCTTACATTATTTACACGAGGGCGGTAATTAATTACAATATTTTATGACGCACTGGACATTCGTCAACAATCTATGTTTATAATAAAATGTAACTAAGTCGAATCTGTACATTAAATATTTTTTGGAAAATCTAGTCATTATCATCGATGCAAAAGCCAAATCTATAGTTTTTTAAAAATTTCTCTGTCTGTCTGTGGCCGCATCACGGAAAAACCACTAGAGGGATTTTGATAAAATTTAGTATGATGATAGCTGGTTATCCGGGTCAACATATAGGATACTTTTTACCGCAGGAAAATATCTCATCTCTGAAAGTTTACACTAAAAGTTAAAACGTTATTAATAAAGAGTTAATCGAAGTAAACATAAAAAGATTCATATTATTAAATATCAAATTTGAATTTCAGACGCGTCTCGTGGAGCCCGTACATACAAATGTGAACAGAGGTGACTGCTTCCTTTTAGTCACTCCCGACCAGCTGTTCCTGTATATAGGATTCTATGCCAATGTCATTGAAAGGTTCGAGTTTTTTTATTATGTATTTTTTTAATCAATATTTGCCCAAATATCTAGTTAAAGGACCACTTCATTTGCTATTAAGTATTATTCTAACGATTTTGCTACTTTATGACCATAAGTTAAAATAAAACGTTGGCAAGGCAAGTTATTAGAGGTCCAACACAAGCTGAAAATATAGAACATATTAAAGTTTTTGCATATTCCAATAATTAATTAGAAATACATAAGAAGAAATAATTAATTAGAATACATTAAAAATATAAACTTTCTTTATTCTAGAAACCGAAGCACAGACATCGCACAACATATACAAAACACAAAGGATCTCGGCTGCAAGAGCTCATCGGGTATCATCAAGATCGACGAACAAACTAGAAACTTCTCGAACAAGCACTGGAACCAATTCTGGTCACTCCTAGGCGTAACAGAAGGCATAGAAGAGTATAAACCGATAGAAACCGGTCCCGCAGATGAAGACGAAATATTCGAAACCTGCATCTTACAAACAAACATGTGCTACGAAGTTATTGACGATGAATTAGTGCCAATAAAAGAATATTGGGGTCAAGTACCGAAAATCGCCATGTTAAACCAATCGAAAGTCATTGTATTCGATTTTGGTTCGGAAATGTATATTTGGTATGGCAAGAATGTGCCCCTCGAGAGTCGAAGGCGGGCTGCCCAACTGGCCCAAGAGCTCTTTGATGAAGGATATAATTACGAAGAGTGTCATATAAATCCATTAAATGCCGCAGAATACCAAGGCGCAAGAGATGACTTAAACACAACAAATAAATCAGCCAAAAATCGACCAGAATGGGCTATTTTATCCAAAATCACACAGCACATGGAAACCATATTGTTTAAGGAGAAATTTCTCGATTGGCCCGATTATAGTAGAGTAATCAAGGTCAAACCTCAAGAAAACAAATCGAATTCGATGGAAATAAACCCTTGCGATGCTGAGGAGATGTGGTCCAATGAATACCAGGACCCAGATTTAGTTCTCGAAGGATCTCACATAGGTCGTGGAACTCATTACTACGACAAAGAATCAATGCGACACTACGATATCAAAACGAAATCAGTTTGCAAATGGGTGATACAAGAGTATGATTATCAAAAAGTAGAAAACGATGAGGAAATCGGGGAGTTTTTCTCCGGTGATAGTTATATTATACGTTGGGAATATCAGATCACAGTTAGTGGACGGGAATTGAACGGCAAGCCCTCGAAGCACAATCTCACTGGTCGAGACCGATGCGCCTATTTCTGTTGGCAAGGGAAAGATGCTTCCTCAAACGAGAAGGGTGCGGCCGCGTTATTAACAGTGGAATTGGATAAGGAGAAAGGTCCCCAAGTGAGAGTGGCTCAAGGCAACGAACCCCCCGCATTTTTAAACCTTTTTCAAGGAAAACTGGTCATACATCAAGGAAAAAAGGGGACGGATAAGAGCAGATACAAGCTATTCATAACTCGAGGGAATATATCGAATGAAGCGTATCTGCTACAAGTGCCCTGTTCTGTTCGACAATTGCGCAGTCGTGGCTCTCTAGTTCTAGTCGACACTGAGAAAGCTTGCCTATACATTTGGCACGGATCTCGTAGTTTGAAACACACGAAGCAAATAGCCATCGAGCTAGCAAACAAAATGGTAGCGAAAAAGCCTAATTATTTACTCGGATCCGATGTGAAGATACGTGAAATAAAAGAGGGGGACGAGTGCAAAGAGTTTTTGGACGGTTTAGGCGTGACAAATAAATATTACAACTCAGTTTTGAATGGTGGGAAAGACAGTGGCGATATGACGCCTAGATTGTTCCATTTCACGGACTTGGGCGGTCAGTTCGAGGCCAATGAGGTGTTGTCGCCGTTGAGACACGAACAACTGGTGACACCCTTTCCTTTTGAACAAAAGGAGTTGTATTCGGCTTCGCAACCCGGTGAGTTAACATTTTACTTGTTTTATTACAGTTAGTTTATAGACTCACAAAGATTTTTAGTAAATATTAAGATGTAGGTTTAAGTCTGTTTCCAATTTGTATTGTTTTATTTTTATCTACTACATTGTTTCTTCATTCTTTGGTCTTAATTCTGGTATATTTTTTGTATGTATGTTACGTATTATTACTTTATACATTGTAAACCAAAATTTATGTACATATATATATATATATATATATATATATATATATATATATATATATATATACATATATATATATATATATATATATATATATACATATATATATATATACAATCTAAAGCATTATAATATAATTATAAGGTAATATAATGAAATATATTTCTAACAGCACTGTTCCTACTGGACGACGGCAAGTGCGTGTGGGTGTGGCAGGGCTGGTGGCCGCGCGACACGCACGGGGACCTCGACCCCGCTGAGAGGAACGGTATGTATACTACATCGACATTGTAGTAATAGATATATTTTTCTAAATCGCACTAATATCACGCTCTACTGATCAAGGTTTTCAAGATATATTGAAGATAAAACATATCACCATTATTTTTAATTAACAAGATTTTATTAAAACTCACAACAATATAACAAACTTTACGATATTTGTATTCATTGTTTTTAAGGGCGCAACGAGGTAACGAAACGTAATTACGAAATAATTACGTTCGTTTGATCCCTTGCTGTATTGTTATTACTAAAACTTTAATTATGTAATTAATACGTAGGATATTTAAGGATTTATTCTATAAATCGTACACTTTAGAAACACGATTACTGGTAGTTTCCTTGATAAAAAAAACCAAAATGATCTCTAAAAAATAAAATAAAACCTTAGTGCAGCGTAAATAATTCAAGGAAGTTCATCAGTTTTCTATAACGTATATATTTTACATTTTCAACATATGTATTTGTTTTAATAATACGAAGGAAATACCTAAATTCGCACGCGTTCCGTCCATCCTAGCCACACTCCCCCCTGTCCGCATCCGTCCTACTAAAAACAATTAGCGCCAAAAGCTCGGTGCCCCTTCAACAATAAAAATATATTGTTTCTTTACTAACCCAATAAATCCCTCTATGAGTATAATCTTTTTAAATTATCATTTTACTAATAAAAATGGCAGGTGTAGGAGCATTTGCAGCGCGTTGGCAAGCAATGCGAGCTGCCGCACTACGCACAGCCGAAGCCTACTGGCGCGTCTCCAGGAATCTGGAGGGTGTTGGGGGTGCTGGAGGTGCTGGGGGCGCGTCCCCGGGGGGTGAGCCTGACGTACGCGTGGTGGCAGCCGGCTTGGAACCTCTGGCCTTCACACATTTGTTTGATGTGTGGCTCGAGCATGATGAAGCGGCTGACGCCAATATCGCTGTAAGTACATTTTGTTGATTAGTTTTGGTGTAATGTAAGAATTATTTATATATTCTATTATTATGTTAAGTTATGGTGAATAGGTAATGATAAGATTAAGCTTATTAAGATGACTTTCTTTTTTAATCTTATTAAAAATATTCACATGCAAAGGATAATTTCGTGGTATTTAATTCCTAGTTTATGATTAAAAATAATAAAAAAGTAAGAGTTTTTACATTATAATAATTGTTTTAAAAAATGATTATGTACTATTTATTTTAAAAGCTGGTGAAGGTTTACTGAATTGTATAGTAATATATTAAGTTATTTATAAAATCGTTTTGTAAATATACGATATGATTAAGTGATAATGAATATACGTAAAGCCTATTGGTGCAAGGAATTTTTCAAAGGTGCTTCGATACATTATAAAATATTGATTCCAAATAATTATGCTATGAAGCTTTGATTTTCAAATTAAAAAAATGTATACTGTATATGATATTTAAAGAAAAAATGAAATGATAAAATAAATATCGCGCACAATATATCTCATTACTATATTGGCATCTGCGAATGCAAGGAACAACATTGTAACTCCATAATTTATCCTCATACATTTCTAAATTTAAAATTGTAACACGATTTACAATATTGTTCCTCGCACATATTGCATATAATGTATATATAAAAAAAACAAACCACGCTTCCGCACGGGTAACAGTAGCACATACGTCACACACATATGTACATATGTACAGCACGGGTACAAAGCGGGTGAAGCGCTCGCGGGCGCTGTGGAGTTGTCGCGTCTAACGAGCTGTGACGCGGTGCTGCCGCTTGCAGCGCTGCAGCGCCGCCCGCTGCCCGACCACGTGGACCCGCACCACTTGGAGCGACACCTGTCCGCTTCTGATTTCCTGGTATATGCTTGATGATGCTTCTAACCATATTGATGAATATGGATATATATGAATATAGAATATTATTCATTTTAATTATTAAAAATTGACTTATCTAATTACAATCCAGAGTAAATTTTGACCGACTTCAAAAAATGAAGGATTTTAAGAAAGGCTGCCCAACGAATATTCATTTGTTTTATATGTATGTTTATCCATTTCTCAGAAACGGCTTGATGAATCCCGCAGCTTTAAATAGTACCATTTTTGAGACAAACTGAAAAAAAAATGTTTTTTTTTTTAATTTATTTATCGCTTCATGTTCGTCTCTAGACAAAAATAAATCTTTCTTACGTAAACCTTACATTTTCCCGGCATAAAAAGTAACCTATGTACTATTTCCAGACTATAATCTAACTCTGTGCCAAATTACATTCAAATCCGTTCAGCCGTTCTGGCGTGAAAGAGTAACAAACATCCATCCATCCATCCTCACAAACTTTCACAGTTATAATTAATCATAATTAGTAGGATTATTACAGGTTTTTTATTTAAATTTTTATTAAAATAATTAAATATTTATTACAGGAGGCATTCGGCATGACCAAAGAAGAGTTCGAAGTGCTACCTGCTTGGAAGCAAACCAATATGAAAAAGGACGTTGGCCTATTTTGACCCGTCGGCCATTTTTATATGGAACAAAACCTTACCGCGACCGCGGGTTAACATCCTTCGAGAGTATTCTAGAACATTCTAAAACCAAAAAGAAACTTTCTAAGGAGTGGACGAGATCGATTCGAAGATAGAAGGGCTTTTTGTACAACCATTTCATACTTTTTTACTGAATTCGAAGGATTTGATACAATTAATTAAGGGCACGCTTTAAATTTTATAGCAACGGAACGTTTTTGTATTAACGGAATGCGAAACTATGTATTCGTTATCGTGATATTTTTCATGTAACGTAGATTAGCTTGTTGAGGATTTGATATATGGAATTGTATTGCGTTGTGTTTGTCGCATCCATGGCATGTTGTTTTTTTTTTAATTTATTATTGTTTTTATATATTTTGTTATACATTTATTTATACGTATTCCCTTCATAACTATTTTAACTTAACTTTCTAATAATTTGTATCATATTGTACTAAATATTTTAGTTTTATTTATGTAATTTAAATTATTATTATTAACGCATGGATATGACAATAACAATGTGAAAGTGATATTTTTGTGTTGCGTTTCGGTGTTCTCTAAAAACGGTGATTTTTATTTAACACTACGCAACATGTAGGCGAAATGTATCTGGTCAAAATATGAATATCGTATGTAAATCGCTAGATATTCTAAAACTTGTACTATTATATACGCTTTAGAATAGGCTTTTATAATCTGTGACGATCGGAAATATGATGTTATTGTGATATCTTAAACTTTATAATACCCGGTATATATTTAAACCAATTTTTTCTGGACCGAATTTTATTGTAATTCCACTGTTATACAGCTTAGTTTGCCGATCACAAAAAGCTGTATAGCATGTGAGGAGGGTCGCGGGTTCATATTTCTACGTCACAGAACGTTCTATACATTTTAACACATCACATATCTAATCTACTCATTAGCTACTTTTATACTGAGTTAGGACCAAGTTACAAATGACTTGCACATAATACGATAGTATCTCGAATTATATACATTTCTAACGCCTCTAGTGAATTTATCTGGTGTTTTAATAATATATTTCAATGACTTTACTCATTTCTGACTAAATTTACGATCTTACGATTACATTGGCTGTCTGAATCGATTCATTTTGGTGCTCGATTCCGAATGATCGATTTTTCGCGTCAATAGCAATCGTGAGACCGATATTGACATATCGATTCACATTAACCGTCTCCGGTAACAACTAAAATCAGCTTGTTTATTTATTGTTGCTGTCTTAATTTAATTTAGTTTATTTTTGTAATTAAGCTTTAATATATATTGTAATCGCTTCGTTTGCATCGAGTCGGTGCCAGTATCGATAACTGCCAATGAGTAGAACTAACGAGTCATTCATTAGTTAACGTGAATCGATACTTGCAAGGAGCAACATTGTAACTCAGTATTGTAGCAATTTCGAATTTTGTCTTTAAAACATGTGAGAGAATGTACTTCTATTTTTAAATCATGTAAATACCGAGTTGCAGTGTTTTTCTTTGCAGGTGTCGATATATCCTATGCATTTACGGCCGCTCCTATACGGGCCTACCGTGACATGAACTTCTCTCAAATCCAATGTTAATGGTTTGCTTTGGTTGTGTTACTTATACTATAATTATTATTGTATTTGAGATTTATTTTGTATAATAATGATGTAATAAATTGCTAAAATTTGAAAATGTTTTTTTTTTCAATTACCTGAAATTTAAGTTTAGTATATATTCGTTTCTGCTGTTAATCGCGAAGTTAGTAATAGAATATAAAACATCATTTTAATGTATAGAGAAATTAAAGACAAGCTATATCTATGTACTTTCTAATCAAATAGAGAATTATTTACTAGCGACTCACCCTCGCTCTGCTCGGGTTCGTCTCTTTTACGTTTTAACGTTTAGTATAGATTTCTCAGAGATGAGATTTTGTCCCGCAGTAAAAATATCCTATACGTTGACTCGGATAACCTATCATCTAGCTATCATCATACCAAATTTTCTTTCGAATTTCTCGTAATGCGTTCTCAGACAGACAAAAATTCTAAAAATTATAGATTCGGCCTCTGTATGGACAATAATGACTATTTCAATAAGATTTTTCACAAACTAATATGCAGATTCGACTCAAAATTTAATTATATGTATAGATTGTCTATTACCTACTTACATATATTTTAATGGACAAAATGAGATATTTTGTACATTACTGTTTTCAATAATCTTGCCATTGCTAGAACTACTATAAGTGTCAATAAGAGAAATAACAGTAAAATTTCACAATCTATCTTAAATTGAATACTACGTCAATTATTATTTAATAAATTACAGTATTAAAATTCATTTAAAACTAAATAAATTATAAGTTATTCTTTCCTTAAACTAGAGAGTCGTCTCAGCGGAAAATATAGCATATTAGTTTGATCACTCTCATGCTCGGAACAGATCTCCCTCGGATATGATTGTAGAGATATGATAGGTACCAGTTTTCACTAAAACCAAAACGTTTTGCTATCTGCATTATGTACAAACGTAAACTTCAAAACACACGTTTGTAGTATGGCTTGTTTTTTTTATTATTTTAATAGAAAATTTTCTTGTTAAACGCTACTACAGCGTATGATTGTTGAATTTTTAATAATCAATAGAATTACATTTGGATTTATGAACGCATTGATTTGTTTTTCTTTAGAGTATATTTTAAAACCATAATATACCTATTTGAGAGATTTATTTTAATCTTTTGTTTATTTTACACAAACTTTAATAACAAATCGATACATACGAGTATGACGCCATCTATCGATATTTAATTACAATATTTTTTCCTTGTTGCTGTTAAGTTAAATCCCTACATTTTGATAAATCGGTTTAATAAAGTTTTTTTATAATGTTCTCCTAAAGACTGACTTCGGACACGGCGTCTATTCCTGGGGTGAAACACCACCAACTTCCCAATTCTGTGCTGTTACTGAGACTTTCTCTTCTTTGTCCACCTCTCTTCCCAGTTTAGCTGCGGTCAGTTCCCCTTGTATGATTGCGGCAGAGAATTTTACTCTGGCTTTTCTGTGTAATCAGTTTCTCTTGCTCTGATCTCTTTCTGCATATTTGACCACCAGGTGGCACGTGGTCGTCCTTTTCCTCGCGGGCGGTCATTGTTATTTAGTACTTTATGTATCGGATGGTTGTCCTTTCGTCTGAGGATATGGCCGTACCAGCGCATTCGGCTTTATTTTAGCGTTTCCTTGTTATCGAAACTTTCTAAACAGAAATATTCGATAAATAAACTTTGACCCGGGACTCGAACCCAGTATCTCCAAATTTGTAACCGTACATGCTAGCCACTTGACCACCGAGGTAGTTTTCTTATAATATAAGTGTCTCTACAAAACAAGGTTATGTTTAATATTTATGATAGTACCTGGAGTAAATCCAGAAGATAGTTATACTAAAATTAACAAAGAAACAAATAAATGTGGTAACTTTTTATTTATAACACACTCACGTCAGTATATTTACAAAATTGCACAAAGTGAAACAACAACTACTCTCAGCACTTACGTCTAGAAATTTAATTATTAGAGTATACTACTACATTTCAAGTGGGCACTCCTATGGGAGATACTTTTGAAATGAAAGGGCCAACGTCTTAAGCGAATATTCTAACTAGCCTCTGGAAAAATGTCCTTGCTTCTTCTGATTGATTTTCATCATCAACATCATTATCATCGTCGTCGTTATCTTCGTCATCATCATCTTCATTTTGTCTGCGTTTGCGTGATCGTGTAGCAATTTCATCATCATCATTATCTTCGTCATCATCCTTATCATCATCATCATTGCCTTCTTCTACTTCCTCCTGTCTTTTCTTCTTTTCTTCATCTATGTTATCGTCATCATCATCATTCTCATCATCTTCGTCGTCACCATCATCCTCCGCTTCCTCTTGTTCTTCTAGATCGTTGTCATCGTTATCATCATTTTCTTCTTTAACTTCCTCCTGGCTTCTCTTTATTTCTTCTTGTTCATCGTCATCATTCTCATCATCATCATTTTCGCCATAATCCTCATTTTGCCTGAGTGATCTGCGTAATCGCTTAGCAAGTTCGACTTCATCTTTATCATCATCATCAGTTTCTTCGTCATCGTCATCATCATCTACTTCTTCTTGCCTTTTTCGTTGTCTTTCTACTTCATCATTATCATCATCATCATTATCGTCGCCATCGTCATCATCATCATCATCATCACTGTCATCATTTTCGACTTCTTCCTGTCTTTTAGTGTCTTCATTGTCATCGCCATCGTTATCATCATCATCGCCATCATCTTCATCATCATCAGCGTCGTTTTCTTGTCTCAAAGTAGATCTACGTAATCTTCTCAAAATGTTGTCTTTACTACTCTTATATTCAAATTCTTCAAGTTCCTCTTCGGGTTCCTCCTCAAGTTCCTCTCCAAGTTCTTCTTGTTGTCTTAATCGATTTGCTTTAATAAATCCTACAACGCCATCTTCTTCAATGTCTTCTATGCCAGACCCATCAATTTCATCAATTTCATGACCATGACCATGATGACCATGACCATGATGATCATGATCATGATGATCATGATCATGATGATCATGTCCGTGATTACGTTGATTATTTAATAATGCTCTTCTCATATTGTTTTCAATTTCATTTTCTTCCTCGTCCTCCGATCCATCTTCATCATTTGACTCTTCGGGTTCCTCCTCAAGTTCCTCTCCAAGTTCTTCTTGTTGTCTTAATCGATTTGCTTTAATAAATCCTACAACGGCATCTTCTTCAATGTCTTCTATGCCAGACCCATCAATTTCATCAATTTCATGACCATGATCATGATGACCATGACCATGATGATCATGATCATGATGATCATGATCATGATCATGATGATCATGTCCGTGATTACGTTGATTATTTAATAATGCTCTTCTCATATTGTTTTCAATTTCATTTTCTTCCTCGTCATCCGATCCATCTTCATCATTTGACTCTTCTTCATTCTCATCCTCTTCTTCGCCGTTCAGGTCCTGTTCTTCACTTTCTTGTTCCTGTGTTTCACTTTCTGGTGATTCCACAGAAGCTTCTTCTATCACTTCTTCATCCTCTTCTTCTGGCTCCTGCTCTAGTTCTTCTTCGGATTCTTGTTCAGGTTCAGGTTCAGGTTCTGACTCAGGCTCTGGCTCAGACTCAGGCTCAGGCTCAGGATCAGGTTCAGCTACACAACCCTCTGGTGGAGATGATCGATCGCAAATCTGTAATAATAAAATCCATCAAAAACAGTAGGTGACTAATTGTTTACCCACGGCTCCGTGTATCGTTAAAGTTTTTTTGTTAATCCAGCCATCATCATATTGAATTTCACATCTATTGATATTATAATAAAAAATACACCTATGTCAGCAAATTGAAATTATAATTTAGAATTATAATACTAGTTTTTGTTTTTATTTTCTTTTGTGGAAAATAAACAGTATTTAAAATAATTACTAATAAACCCAACATTAATAAATATAAAACCATTTATACCAACTTTTCTACTGATACAATAATTGAACTAAAATTACACAAGATTATAAATTACTATTATTACTAAATTAACTGGCTTATCAATGCACACCATTCAGCATAATACGTATTCACAATTCTAGTTTCGTTTTGTGTTGCCACGTAAAAATTAGTTGCATAAAATTTAGTCTTGTTGAATAAATATATTATAATAGGTTATGAATTTACCAGCTTACACCGTACTGTTACAGCGAGTGTTATTGAGTTAAGTGAAATTTAGTTACTTTATTGAACTTAGTTTTTAACCTCCAACGCAAAAACAGGAGTGTTACAAGTTTGACGTCGATGTCTGTCTGTCAGTATGTGTGTGTGTCTGTCTGTGGCATCGTAGCTCTCAAACGGATGGACCGATTTCGATGCAGTTTTTTTCCAAAATGATGTAAGGCATTTTGGCGTATGATTACTCGATTAAGTGCTTCACGCGTGCCAGTGTAATCGTTAAATGACAATTTGCGTAGTGGTTCTTTTTATTTTTTATTTATAATATAGCATTAATTTCGAAAATAAAATATAGTGAATTCAAACTTAACAAAAAATTGTATGTTAAAGAAAATGAGATAAATGAGAATCCTGATACACACCTGAAGTAATGGTTAAATCGAATTTGCGCATATAAATGTGGATAAATAACTATTTATTATGAATGAAGATACATATATTATAAATAAAAATGTAACTAAATATATCCATCGGAATATAATATTCACTATAGTGTTTACTAATCATCCTATATTTGTTTAGAGGCATTTAGCTTTGGAAGGCGTGTGATTTGTATAAGTCCACATATGGACTTAGGCATCATTCAGTGCTCTCCAAACTAATTTACATTCAGCATCACGATCTATTCATTACAAACCCCTGTTTAACAAATTTTCGTACCTGTTCTTCTTCATTGAACCACGTGTCCATAGGACATTGCATGAGGTAGGATCGACCGGAGTAGCATTGGTAATAGTGCAGGCAGCTGTCGACGTTGGCGATACGTAGGAAGTTCTCTTGGCCAATACAAATAGTCTCCGCATTTTGTCTCAAGCTAATTGAGAGCGAGGAGGCGCAGGCCAGCGCCGCCGCTAAGAAAAGCAGCCGAGTGGTCACTGTAAACATAATTCACGTTCCTTTATATCTATCAAATTAAATTAAAACATAGCCACTTAATAAAGTATTTGAATACAAATAGACTTTTATAAATCTATCGTCAATTTCATAATACTTTTTTAGATAAACGCGAATATTAGAGATTTACTCATTAGCCTGTATGTAAGTAATTGATATCTCTCAACCCGTTGTTGGTTGCGACGAACATTCTATTTTAAATACGTCAGTTTCAATACATTCACTACAATTTGCGAGTATTGTTTTACCGACTCTACTATATACTATTAGTTTCTTACTACCAACTTATTGCTGATTGAATAGAAATATATACCTATAAAAATATATAGAAGCTTTACATAACACAAGTTTATTCTCTATGATAAATTTATTTTTAATAAGTATTGAATTTCCAATCTATATCTAATGCTAACTTAAAAATGTCAGATGTCTGTCGAGCACGAGTCTTAAGTGTTCTGTAGATAAATTTCAAATGTTATCTTTAATCTAAAACTATAGGTAACGCAATTCTAATAATTTTCCACCAATCCATCAATGCTCAGTAATTTATCAAGAATTTTTTTGAAGATAGAGTCATGCACTTAGAATTTTTCGAATATTATCATGATATAATCTTATTGTAGTATAGATAATATTCTTTAGAGGATATATGATGAAAAGACGAAAAATTTATTTCAAAGTCAAAGAAGCATTGAATTAAAAAATAAAATTTCGTTTTCCTTTCCAACGTCTATTGATAACCGTCACTTAACGTATGGAAATGCTATATTAAATAAATAGAAATGCAGTAGCTTAATTTCAATAACTACTAAAATTGTTTAATAGTTATTTGAAATTAAGCTATTAAATAGGTACATGCAAACTGTAAAATTACTTCTCAAAACTTTAATCAACTTGGTAACATCTCTCTAAAATGAAGCACAAAAACACATTTCTATATTTTAAATACTCGGTCTAAATATATATAATACTTTAACTAATACTTTAGAATAAAAGAATACTTTAATACCATTATTACTATATGTAATGTATACATTGATATTTATAATAAATATTTATCTAGCATATTAACAGTTTATATATAATGTAAAATAATACCTAATGCAAATTTATTTTAATACGAAATAAATTTAATTTCTGATTGATTTTAATTAATAAATTATTATTATTAAATAAACTCTAACTCTCTCTAACCAAGAATAAATGAAAAATAAATAAACACAGAGTAGAAATGTACATGAGGCGGCCTTATAGCGATAAGGATAGAAAAGTCTTTGCAATTTTAAATGTTGGAAGAGTACTTACCACCCATTTTGACCGCAACAGAGTTCGTCTCGAGATGCGATCTGAGACCAAAGTAATTTTTTTTCTAGTAAGACATCAATTTTATCTGGACCATTGTATCTAGAGGATCGGTGATAATGTCAGCTACAGTGAGATACTGAAGGTGTCGATCGACAGCTCCTTATCTTAGGGTTATCCTTTATCTTACAACTCAATCACAGTAACCACACTTTGACACGACTTAATTGTCGCGTTTAATTTTTAACAATATGATTATTATAAAAATAATTTTAAACGTTAACGTCGTTAACTGTAAGAAACTATTATATACTTAACATAATAAAATCATTCCGTATTTTATTATGAACCCCTTTTTTTGCGGTCCTCAGTTATATTTTATTAATAAAAACGTTTAAATTACTGAAGAACCTTGTAAGTAAAATTACCATATTAATGTTATGTTCACGATATGACTGTACCTTCTAATTTAAGTGTAAAACTTAAGATAGTTTATAATAGATAATTATTACTTAAACGTCCCTAATTATTAGATAATTAGGGATGTTTATTTAATCGTCTTTAATAACCATAAATTAAAATTTCGTCATGAAATTATAATCATTTTTTAATTTTAATTTATTTTAGTAAAAGTATTTTAAAAAATAACCTAAAAGTGCTAAAATAAAATTTTACGCATACGTTTTAAATTCAAAATAGATATAATTTATTCAAATAGATCTACACAAGATCTTCAGAGTCGTCAAATCGTAGATAGTATACAAAGCAATATGACGCGGCTTTACATTAGTTTGACCAACGGAACGCCATGCTGCATTCTTTTATCCCCCACGTGACCTTGTGCTTCGAGATTTATCATCGGAATACTTATCTAATGAAACAGTTAAATGGATTATGGTATTAATCTATACATATAATAAAATTGCAACTAAACCGAATCTACATTAAATATTTTTTGGAAAATCTTATTGAAATAATCATTATTATCGATACAGAGGCCGATTCTATAGTTTTTAGAATTTTTGTCTATCTGTCTGTCTGTCTGTGACCGCATCACGAAAAAACATCTGGACAGATTTTGATGGGTATGATGATAGCTGGTTATCCGGGTCAACATATAGGATATTTTTTACTGTGGGAAAATATATCATCTTTGAGCTAAATGTTAAAACGTTACTAGGGACGCACCAGAGCGGAACGAAGGCAAGTAGCTAGTAACGTATAAAGAATAAGATTTTATTTGAGTAACGAAAACGTAAATTATAAATTTAAAAAAACCCCTACGCTAATTGTCATTTAACGCAAGAAGCACTTAATTGAGTAATCAGAGCCAAAACGCCTTACATTATTTTGGAAGAGAGCTGATACTCTTACACTGCTGGACCGATATTAACCATACATAGTTAAGAACCACCGCAAGGAAACTGGCTTTCAAATGAAAAAAACCGCATTGAAATCGGTCCATCCCTTTGAGAGCTACGATGCCACAGACAGACACATACATACGTCAAACTGACGTCAAACTGATAACACCCCTCTTTTTGCGTCGGGGGTTAAAAATAATCCATTTTAACGCGATTTGTTCACAGACTTACCTATATTTTATAATAAAACTAATAAAGTATTTATTTATATAATTAGTTCTAAATTCATTTTCACCAAAATTTAAATGTTTATAAATTTTTATAAAAATTTCAAAACCTTTCATCTCCAACTTCTTTTAAACGTTTTATTAGTGTTTACCTATTAAAAATAAAAACGCATTCAATCATGTATTGTACTGCTTTTAATTTACTTCACTGTGTAGCATTATTTGAAATTCGAATAGATAACAATGTGTATAAGTTATTTTATTTTAATATTAATAATACTCTTTATGAGCTCTGAGTACGTCAGAAGCAGCAACTTACGACGCATATAGACCACATTTACATAAACTCCATACATTTTTATCATAATTTTACACATACATACTTATTATTTACTTCCTTATTTCTCTTATAAATGCTGAAAGTGTTCTTGTGGTCGGTAATGTGCTAAAAATACCGCAATTTGATTCGGACGAACCGGTGCAGATGACAAAATTATTTCATACTGTTTAGTTACTATGGAAATTAATTATTTTTGGGTTTATTTTCATTTTATTATACTAGCGACTCACTCTCGCTCTACTTAGTTTCGTCCCTATGTAGTTACGTTTTAATGTTTAGTATAGATTTCTCAGACATGAGATATTTTCCTGCAGTAAAAAGTATCCTATAATATGTTGATATCATACCAAATTTCCAAAATTAACACGTACAAAGTTTTCTCCTCACATATTAATTTTTTAACTGCCCCGGTGGTCTAGCTAGCTATGTAAGTACGGCTGCAGATCCGGAGGTCCTGAGTTCGAGCCCCGGGTCGGGCCAAGTTTAATATATTCTCAATAACAGCCCGGAATTCGGAAATTGGCGGTTTTTCACCCCCGTGCCTCGGGAAGCACATAAAGCCGTCGGACCTGCGCCTTAACTCTTGCTGGTCGTGTCGAAGTATCACCCATCGTACTTTGAGAGTAAAAGGAGTAGAGAGTGCAATTGTCTCTACGTGTACATTTCTGCACGTGGACACAATATATTAGGTAATATAAACAGGAAGACATTATATTTTAAATGTAAAAAAATAACTTATGTATCAATATTGAATTTAGGTCTTAAATAAACTTAGTACAATTTAATTTATATTTTTAAATCATTAAATATGGAGTCACAATGTTGATCTACGCAGATGTTGACGTATATTGACGTATGCACACATAACTAAACCTAGCAACACAGGCCACGCTCATCACTCATACTCATAATAATCGAAACTACTTTAAACGTATTATTCTAAGTGGCTAAATCAAAAGATAAGGATTTTTTAAGTCAGATGTACATCTTTGTGGCTGACTTCAAGAAAAAGGCGGTACTTACTCAATTCTGTCTATATTTTTTTGTTAGTTATTGTTACTCAATATCTTCTTCAATTGTCGATCGATTTAAATATTTGATCTTGAGAGTGTGAGAGTCAATTGTCACGCTATTTAACATTATACTCGTGTGTATCTCAAGTCCATGGGTTGACTGGAAATTGGAAGTTATCTCTTTTAGGGATAAGTCCACCTTTGCCTATGTCATTTAATATGTAATATCGGTATTATTTTTCATATGTGCAATAAAGAATATCTATACATATAATAAAGTTGTAACTAAGCCGAATCTGTACCTGCATTAAATATTTTTTGGAAAATCTTATTGAAATAAACATTGTTATCGATACAGAAGTCGAATCGATAGTTTTTAGATTTTTTGTCTGTCTGTCTGTTGGTCTGTCTGTTACTTTTTACCGCAGGAAAACGTCTCATTTCTGGGAAAAAATACAAAAACTGCAATATAAGAGTATACTGATATGTAAAACCTAAGATTTGGGTTTTGGTCATCTAAACGCGGGCGGAGTCGCGGGCAATGCTAGTATTTTATAAAATTAATTGTAATATTTAATGTAATAACATTAATTCTTTGAAAGACCGGTAAAATAAGTAAAGTTGCCTTATATATTGTATATTTTCAAGGTTTAAGTAACTTATAAGATCGGAATAATAAAAAAAAACATCAAATATGTGTTTAAAATTTATTCCTCAGTATTTAAAAATCATATATGTATGTATATACAACGCAGTAACCTTCATATTTTATTTTGTTCTAGAAATTTTGCACTCGTGTCATCTTTGTTGATAAGAGATAACTACCTATGTCCTAAACGATATTTGTATCTTGTATACATTGAAATTTAACTTACTTATAGTTTTACTGTTATTACACGGCTCGTTTTATCAAATCGTGAATTTAACGAATAAAAGTGCGAAATAAACATTCAACCCACTGTACCAGAATGTTTCCAAAATTTTAACGTCAAGAGTAGGTGAGTTGCACGATATGTACCATGCCGACGGCGAGTGCCTCAGGACAAAATAAAGCTATGAAAGATACCTTTTTAGTATATAGATATCGTTCTTTCTTTTCCCTTCATCCAACCGTGCGTAAGAGTAATAAATAAATTTGAAACTAATAAAAAGGTTGGATAATAAAAGACAATTTATTATCCGCTCCACTTCAAAATCTATTTTTTTTACATTATCTAGTGTTTCCGAAATACAATTATTGTATTTAATAAATTCTATTAGGAAAAAATAATTGAATCCCAGGAGCTATCGAAACAGAATAAGAAAACTACTACATTACTTAGTATTAATTTAGAACTACCTATTATAATATTTTTTATCCATATTATTTACCATAAAATTACATGCAGTCTTCTTTAAAAATTGTGTTCGTTAAAAACAAGTGTAAAATGAATATTAACATAAATTGTCCAAAATCATTTATTCATACGTAATAAACTGATTGGCGCCACGCAGTTTTTCACGTGAATTGCGATCTTTTATCTTACTGTTATCACAAGATAACGTTTTTAAGTGCACCTTCACACTTCGAATATCCATAAGAAAATGTAAATATTAAAAACTTTAAATCTATATTTTCGTATCGTATAGTGCATCCCTTGAAAGTTTTGATTTTAAACATCATCGACCCATCCTTGGTCCGCCCAATCACATGATGGCACATGCTTGTATATGTATGTATTAACTAGAGTTACTGATTCTATTCAGACTAATTAATCACTAATTATATATAATCACTTCAATAAATACAAGAAATAGAAATAAGCTGGTTACGCCCAGATTTCGACTCCAAAAAGCGAATGAATCCTTGATAGGCCCGACGCATAATATAATAAGATTCCGCAATCTGTCCTAGATTTACCTTTGCAACAATCTATACATATAATGAAATTCTAACTGTCTGTCTGTTACCGCATCACTGAAAAACCACAGGTAAGATTTTGATGAAATTTGGTATGATGATAGCTGGTTATGCGGTTCAACATATAGGATACTTTTTACCGCAGGAGATTATCTAACTTCCACGA